ACACACACACACTATACCACATACACACATACACATACCACATATATATACACCATACACACATACATCCACATACTATAACACACACACACACACACACACACACACACACAATCTTTCCATGCGTACTAAGTAACTTAAGTCCCCCAGAAAAAATAAACAAGCTGTTTAATCTCTTCATGGTTTGCTTTCCTCATCTTTAGCCCTGAATGACTGTGGAACACATCACATGGGATTGATACGGATATTAAAGGAGTTTATAGCTATGGGGCAACTAGAATAATAATTTCTAGTACATATAATAAACATGTGGGTGCTAGTTTTAAATATGTTTTTATTTTCTTAGCTCCTTTCTCTGTCACTCCACCAAACATTTTTTCATTATCTGCCGAGGTATTTCTCTCTTCTATGAAGGTATAGATCCCTTGAAAACAGGAATTTTGTCACTCTATCTTTATCCCGAGCTCTGAACCAGTCCCTGACATGCAAGCATTGAGTGAGCCACTGGGTGAAACTATAAAATTGGGCTCAATTTGAAGTCAGGAAGGCTTGAAGTAACAATTGTATAAAAATACTGAAGTACACCCCCCCTTTTTTTGCTACAGAGAAACAAAGTGTGAAAAACAAAACCTACCAGAGTATTATGAATGCCCATCTTTAGCTAGTGAGATGGTACTTAACATTTACTTACTTTGTACGTCTCTAACTTTCCTTTAATGGGAGAGTGGAAAGGGAGAAAGTTGAGTATATACCAGAGGGCCATCATCATATAAAGACTGAACCCTGCTCTAACCAAAGACACATAAAATACAGAAATAGAAGATACAAAAAAAAAAAAAATAGAGAAGATGACATCAGCTTGGGAATTTTGGTATCTTTATACGGATAGAAACATTTTTGTGGTTGTATCTTCAGAGACATAGGTGTTTGCACGTACTCCATGCAGTCATTCATAGACCCAGCCTCATGGAGGCCCTGCCATCAATACATGGTTTCTACATCACCATGGTGTCTGCATCTGTCTAAAAAAGAAGGAAGTGGGGCGTGGGAAGGCTAAAAGAGAAGGCAGAGTATGGTGAGCTCACTTCTGCCCACGTTCTCCTGGTGTTGATTCAGTGCCATGCCACACTCACCAAGAGAAGCTAGAGGGTCTGTCTACCCATGTGCCACAGTGGAAGAGGCATGGTTTTAACAAACAGGCAGAGAGTCTCCCCATCACTGCTCTGTTCACTCACCAGTCTTCTCCTTGCTGGGTTGACTCCTCCCTTTGCAATCTGCTCTGCATAGTGCTGCTGTTCTCAAATACATTCATCATGTCATTTGCCTCATTAGTTCTCTATCACTGGGAAAGGTTGAGTCATGTCTTGGTTCGTGGCAGAGCTGAGGCTGTGTCCCAGGTCTCCATAATGATGCATGAGCTCATTTTGTAGCACCAGAATTCAGTTCAAAAGATTTGATTCATTAATTTATTTCTTTTTAGGCATAGCTTTATTACCAAAGAGGGATTGTTGTAATAAGACAATATAAAATAAATTTTAGGACCATTTTTGGAAGCATATGTAGTCAAAAGGATATGAAGCTCATTTATTTAGCATTGAAGAGTTTGGAAATGGATTGCTCTCAGAATGCTGTGTAATTAGCAATTGGTTCACTACTAATATATCTGCTACCTGAACACTGGTAATGGGCAAGTTTTCCCCTAGTCTTTCCCATATGTTACCTAGATTCTTGCATTTCCAACACTCTTTAGCTGGCCCAACTTTCTGAGTGAGGTGAAGGGACCGTACTTTAGTCAGTGACCATACCAGCAAGATCTTTCTCTTAATAAGCCCCAAAATAGAGATACCATTTTCACCAGAGCAGAAGTGGGCATGAATTAACATTATGGTCAAGAGGTCGAGAAATCATGATTAGCTTAATCTATTTTCTACAGACTGGTTATTTTTTCTTTTAAAATGGTCTCTGTTCTAACAACCCTTAATGGTGATTTGGTGTGGAGTATTCAAAGGCTAAGTGTATTATCCACTATATTTTAAGAATAGTCATTGGGTTGGAGAGATGGCTCAGTAGTTAAGAGCTCTTGGTGTTCTTCAAGATGACCCAAGTTCAGTTCCCAGGATCTACTTCAGTCTGCTCATAACTCCAGGGGATGCAATACCTCTGGCCTCCATGGGCACCTGCAACTCACATGACATACCCACATGCAAATACACACTATCTTAGTTAGGGTTTCTATTGCTGCAATGAAATACCATGATCAAAGCAACTTTGGGAGAAAAGGGTTTATTTGGCTTGTACTTTCATATCACTGTTCATTATTGAAGAATGTCAGGACAGGAACTCAAACAGAATAAGAATCTGGAAGCAGGAGCTGATGCAGAGGCCATGATTACTGGCTTGCTTCTCATGAGTTGCTCAGCCTGTTTTCTTATAGAACCCAGGACCACCAGCCCACGAATGGCACCACCCACAATGGGCTGAGCCTTCTCTCATCATTCACTAAAGAAAAAAAAAATGCCCTACAGGCTTGCCTACAGCCCAATCTTATGGAGGCATGTTCTTAATTGAGGTTCCTTCTTCTCAGATGACTTTATCTTGTGTCAAGTTGGCATAAAACTATCCAGCACACATACACGTAATTAAAAGTAATCAAAATAAATAAGAATGATGCTATATTGGTGGCATGTAGCAGACTCAACGTCCTCCTTCTCACCTCCCTCCCCAACCCTCTTACTCTCCTTCTCCTCCCTACTGAAGCTATACTAGAATATTTTTATACAACTATGGCTCCAAACATCCTTTACTTCAAATGTATCCCAGTTTACAGTCATTTAGTGGCTTACTTGGGAATTCAATGTTCACTGAATTCATGGGTATCAGGATTTGGCTCAAAGCTACAGATAAAAAGATAGATAGTATCATATGTAGTAGTTTAAATGAGACTGTCCACTATAGGCTCATATGTTTGATTGCTCAGTCCCTAGATAGTGGAGCTGTTTGGAAAGGATTAGGAGGTGTGGTCTCATTGGAGGAGTTATGTCATTGAGGGTGGGCTTTGAGGTTTCTAAAGCCCACACTGGGCCCAATCTCTCCTTTTCCTTTCCATCTATCTATCTATCTATCTATCTATCTATCTATCTATCTATCTATCTATCTATCTATCCATCTTTCTCTCTCTCTAACCATGAAACTTGCAGATCAGATATGAGTTCTCAGCTACTGCTACAGCAACACATTTACCCATCTACTACTCTACGACCATGCTCCCTGCCAGGATGATCATGGACTAACCCTGGAAAACTGTAAGCACTTAATACTTCTTGTATATGAGTTGCCTTGGTCATGCTGTATCTTCATAGCCATAGACA